AGCCTTTCGTTTAACCAATCAGCTCTCGGCGTCCCGTTCTCAAGGTTACTAGTCGTTGACGTATTTGGTTTTTCCAGCATCATTATGGTATTTGTGATTTTCGAGTATTTTGGTTTATTCTTGGTAGGTTTTACTCGCCGCTGCCATTTGCACTAAGGAAGGGAGAGGTATACAACTTAATCCATTTCATGAACTTTTTTCCCAGCGTTGGTTTCTCGCCAGTTCGTGGAGATGTCAAAATCTCGAATTGAAGGACTTATCGCCACATTTCCAAAACTTGCCGATCCAGGTTTTTTTTCTCATTTTCGAGCTAGTTTGTATAGGGAAGCAACATACGTTTGCTGAGACCGACTCTGTTCGCTATGTTTATCAACCTTTGGAGAAGCTCTACGTCCTTCTCATCACCACTAAGGCTAGCAACATTCTTGAAGACCTGGAAACACTTCGCCTTTTTGCCCGAGTGGTAAATTTGATTACCACTTCAATGTTTAGATTCCTGAATATGCTCGTGGCCTTGAAGCCTCCGATGTCGTCGAGAATGCTTTTCAAATCATCTTTGCGTTCGATGAAATTGTAGCTCTTGGGTACCGCGAGAGCGTTACTCTGAGCCAAATTCGCACTTTTACAGAGATGGATTCACACGAAGAAAAGATGTTTAATGCGGTACGGGAGAATCAAATGCAAGAGGCTCGTGAATTAAGCAAACGGAAAGCCCGTGAACTCGAGCTTGCTCGTCATGCTGCTGCAAAACAAGGATTGCCACTGAACTCAATTTACAACAGTTTTTCTAGCGTTAGGAGCGCTGATGCCTTTGCTTCTGAACCGAGTGTTGAGCCTCCCTCTGGTAGGTATTGTTTCCACTTTTGCCTCTCATTTGCCTACTTTGTAGATGATCAACCAGGAGTACCCTTGTTGTCTCGTGAAAACTGGGGATCGTCGACTTCGGAGTCGTCGGCGAGGCGTGGAATGCAGTTAGGAAGTCGTGGAGGACATATTAAGGCCGAGATGGATAGGCTCACTGATATGATACGGGGTGAAGTCCCTCCGGTGGTTTCCGATGCTGCAAACGTTGATACTCCAACGAAACCTGCGACTACTACTATGTCAAAGTAAGTTTATCTGCTGATGCAAATAATTATCTTTTAAGTTGGTTTCCCAACCTCATCTTGGTTCAGTATCTCCATGCATTTATTTCGTACCATATGGCTGGTCATTTATTTACGGGCCCAAAATAGCTATTTTGCCTTCCTCTTATCTCGGTAGGGGTTCAACTTTGTTATTTTGTGCACTTTTCTGGGCCTATTTTATCATCGAAATGATTTTAGGCCCAGAAATTTGTTCTTCGTGGGTGCTGACACAAGTGCTTTAAGCCACTGTGTTTAGTTATTCGTTTTTGATGAAATGACAATGCTTTTCGTTCGCTTATCCTATTCATTTAGCCTTTCAAATTTATAGTTTTAGCATTCCCTTCGAAACGCAAATTCGCGAAAATCTTCTTATTACTCTATCCTCACAATTTCGGTTGACATATTTTTGTTGTGGGTTTGTTAATATTGCTTATTGCTTAGTACTGGTTCTACGAAATTCCTCCTTTAATTTAGTCGTTTTGAACTGCCAATGCCGTGCACTTATGGACTTTCGAGATGGTCAGAGCCAAGACCTTGTTTCTCGTCCATAGAAAAAAATTCTTCCAAAACCGCCACCATTTTTTTCCTCAAATTACCACTTCATGGCTTCATATTTTTGGTCATGAAAAGAATTTTTCGAATGAGTTGTGGCGCCGACATCAACAGGAGTCTTATATTGGTTGGTTGGAATGTCTCAATTTGGTTGCTAATTTAACTAAGGCCGTAGAAGCGGGAGGAATCAATGCCTTTACTTACGTGTCAACAAAGTCAAAATATGTCATAGTTCCAAACACACTCAACCTCCTCTTTGAATGAGTAAACTCCATTATAGATGTTCCCAATGTTGATGGGCTGATGTCTCATTCAATAATGTTGGCTCCATCGTCCTCTGTGCTAAGACCCATAGCCA